AGTCTAGACTTGCTCTGTATAAAAAGTGTCCTGGGATAACTTCTGTCATGATTCAGTGGCTAACTGATTCTCAAAATCAAAGTTAAGCTGGAAAAAGTGAACAAAAATATTACAACTAAACTGGAGTTAGGAAGACTAACTCTCAGAGGGGGGATTTCTGGAGACACAGGGGCACAATGATGAAAAGGATGTAAAAGAATGAGAGGGAAGGATGATGCATCGAAACAGAAAGAGGAAAGAGGGTAGACGGTTTGAATAAGGCAGGAACAGAGATGCTGATGATAGAGATGTAGAGAGAGAGAGAGAGAGAGAGAGATGATGCAGGCAGGCACAATATTATATAACAGTGTCAGGGGAAGAAGGGAGGGATGGAGAGAACAGAAGACGAGTGATGGAAGGATAGATGGAGGAGAGGACAGGCAGTGAAGCAGACTCCTCCCCTGCATGAACCTGATGAAGAGAACAAACTCACAGCCACGCCCTCTGGTCTGAGTCATCAAGAGCTGCTGCTGCAGACGTCCACAGAAAAGAGACTCAACTCAACACTCGACTCAACAGCTGCTTACTTTCATTTCACCACTTCACTTAGCTGGAAGTCACGTTAGATTTATTATAACTAATCAATACTTTATAACAAGAAGTATTCTTCAATATTTTTGACCACATGAACTGAAAATCATCTGACCAAAGCTCTTTATAGATAGACGCATTACAGTATTAAAGCCGCATTAACCAATATTTTATACTAACAATAGATCAAATACTAATATAAAGTGGTTGCTGTGACGGATGAACCCACAGATAATTCAGTTCCCTGCTCTCATAAAACTTGTTTCCAGCTGCAGACAGTTGTTTTCAGAAAAAGCAGTTCTGATGAACCCAGCGCACATGAGCTGCTTTGCGCTAAACAGCCGACAGACAGAGTAAGCGACTAGCTGGTGAACATAATGGAGCTGTATATAAAAATGGACGGTGTGATGTCAGCCATCAGTTTGTATTGGAGCTGGTTTGAAGCTCGCGGTTGCAGTTTAGGGTTGGTGCCATCTTTTATATTTGAAGCCAGCTTTTAAATACGCGTAGCCGAACTGCATTGTGGTTCTCTTGCTTCGCTTTCCTTGTGTTTCTTGTGAAATGTTGTTGCTTGTCAAATTTACATAGGTAGATTAATTATTATTTAATCAATGTACTGAATGACCTGCTGGAGGTCTGAAAAGTGCATTTTTGCGAAGATAAGTAATTCTGACACACAGCTGAGAATGAGAACATCGGCGATAGCACAGTAGCATAGCATCACCCCCAGTGTTACTGATTGGTTTAATTTATAACATTTATGTAAATGCAGCATCAAATAAATGAAAATAAATCAATCAAAGCTGCTGCATGTGTGGTGGTTCAGGATGTGTGAAGAATGGTGAAATAAGCACTGATCAAATAAGATTGGAGTCAGTTGTTTCTGTATGGATTTATTTAGATAATAAAATAAACAGCTGCTGCATCGAGTAGATGAACGTTCAAAAATCACTTTCCCATTTCCTTGAATTGGAAAGTGGTGCGAGACGATCGAAAATATTTGGACTCCTCTGTATATGAAAAAAAAAGACATCTATCATTTTGCAGTGTGTGTTTGTTTACTGTGTTTTTGGGGCTTGTGTGCTGTACACAGTATGTGATATTTGAGAGATTATAAACAAACCCACCAAATCAAATGGGAGCCATAATCCCAGATAATCCTATAGAAACCTCTGCCTTTCCAACAGCCAGTCCATCATCTGGCTAGCTAGCTCTATCAGACAGCACCTTAGACAGCCATTCAGTCAGTCAGCTAACCAGCCGGTCTGTTATTCATTTTAATGCCTCAATTCACAATGAAGCAACAATCTAACTAATGGAAGAGGTACAACAGAGTTTAATAGTTGAGAAAATGCATCTGCAGAATCTCCAATACTGGGACACATCTTCCCGTCAAACACCATCTTCAACACAAGGTGGTACACAGGAAATTATTATAATCATAAAGTATATATTATTTAAACTTGAAGATTATTGAGGGTAAAAATAATTTACAATCATGTGGAGTACATACAAATACCAGTTAAAAGAGAACATCAAAGGTTTTTATGCCGAGTGATGTTTCTAATATCTAAATAAATTAAACCTAAACCTTTCCTATATTTAAAACTTGAAGGACTAAAAACAGGATTTGACGAAGATACAGACATTGAGATAGTTACAGGTGGTGGGGAGGATAGAGGGAGGTTGACCTTGTTCCAGTTGGACCTATAGTGGTAATTGGGGAGTGCCTAAGACCCAAACTATGCATAAACCGTCATGTGGTAAATGCTTTACAGGAAAACAGATATTCAATGTTCGTGTTCAATGTTAAAAGACAAAAGACAGGAGCCTACCTGATTGGGATGCAGGTGATCTTGCTTGAAGAGGTCTGATCTCTTGTAAGAGATGGTGAAACTGTCCACACAGGGGATCCCTCCGTTACAGCTGTAGTCCCTCAGCCAGATGTGCAGTTGTCATAACCAGGAGAACGTCACATTGAGGGAAATGGACCTGAGATAATGCACTGTCTGTCAGAGTTCAGAATACTGTCGATGAGGCAGGTGAAATCTTTTTTAAGCTTCTCTGACTGCTGTATCTTAAATTCAATGAAGCCTACCTGCACTGCACCTGCGGTGGCAGGAGGTGAGGCACTTGTTGATATGCACTTGTCGGACCATGGATGACCCAACATCCCTGGACAGCTGCCTCGTTAGAGGACTTGGACTGCGCACCATTGGGGGAAAGATGCTTGGCCACCGGGCAGGAGCGACGTGCAACAGCGGCATGTTTTCCCTGGGTAGACTGCCCTGGCGGGGCAGACGAGGCTGGAGGCGGGCCGCGGGAGGGTCACAGAGGGCGAGCCCCGCACTCCAGAAGATGGCGCGGAAATTTATTCTCAAACTGGATGGTCTCAGAGTTTTTGTTTTGCCGACCCCCGCTCTTCACCTGGGACAGGAGCATGACATGTCCTTATCCTTAGCGGTGGGGATGGAAGACAAGGGGATGCAATTAGAGCTCTTCCTTCTTCCTCATCTCCTCACCTTAACCGGCGAATATCATCGGATAACCGTGAGTAGGCAGACAACTCCCACACATAGCCACAGTTTGTCAGGTCAACACTCAGGCTACCAGGCTAAGGATAGTCTGTGGCAGTCGCAGTGTCAGTTATGGGTCAAAAAAACGCTTAAAAATCCACAGTTAAGGAAAGTTGGATATTGTTTTAAGTCCCACAGAAAAAGAGGATTAGTCTTTGTTAAAATCCGCAGTGAAGGAATCGGTGTAGCCGGAAGTTACAGGCTAAAAACAAATTAAGCTAGCACCTGACAAGGGTCGACTAAAAAAATAAAAAATCCAGACTTTTCATGGCTAAAAAGTTTTACTCGTGTGTAAAAAGACCAGACCACAAAAAGTGTAAAGAAAAAAAAAATATATAACTTAAAACTAAAAAACTGTCAAGTCGCGATAGAGCTTCTGGCTAGGTGGCGTACAAAACGCCACGCATGCGCAGTCAATAACCAAAAAGTCAACAAGGCAGGTGAACTGAGGGAAACTTGTTAGAACAAAATGGTGATTTAAGGTCCTGTATCCCAGAATTTATGGTACTTTGATTGTATCATGTTGTTTGTGTTTTTGTTTGGTGCTTTTAAAAAAGTGGTCATTCTGTTCATTAATTTGTCTTTATACTGTATAAAAACTATTGGATATGCACCTTGGTACTCTTTGCATTATCTGGTTAGATGCTAAACTGCATTTCATTGCACTGATTCTTTCTGTGTGCCACGACAATTAAGTTGAATCTAACCTAGTTCATGAACATGATGATAATCCCGTGCACAGCTGTATGGTTGTTCATCTGCCAGGCTGCTGATCTGGAGCAGAAAGATTCATACAGTAGAAATTCCAGCACATACAAGCGGTGTCTAAGATGTCATACATGATTACAAATATGAAAAACGAACTGCACATTTCGCCCGGCATCTTCCTATGGCTTGGTCATCACATGATCAGCGACAGCTCTATACTTTTAAAGATTATTGTGGCTCTCAATAGCCTGTGGTCAATTACAGACACAGACATTTACATTTCTAAATTTATAATGTACATATAATTTAGTATGTACAATTGAAATTGATATACATAGTAAGTAAGAATACAACCCATATCACCCATAAATAAATAAAAATATAGGAAACTGAAAATATAATGATATGAAAATGTAAGAGCCAATAATTTTTGCTATAAAATTGGCAAAATACAGGTATTGACAAGTTATTACTTAAGTCTAATTACACAGAACACATTAAGAAAACCAGTTTAGTCTGTCAGGAAATTCATGGTAACTATAAATGCGGTCATTGTACACATTGTGCAAATACAAATACATACAAGAGACGGGAGATAACATTGGCTTTGGTTTCCACAGCTGTAGACAGCTCTTGGTGAGTAAAGGAATGAAGTTTGATGCTGAAATAGTTATCTATGGTGCAGGGTGGTAGGTTATCAATGAAAATTTAATCATGTTTGTTTTGTCATTTTGATATTTAGTTTTGTGTTAGCTTGCATTGAAGTCATTTGGGTTTCAAACTTTGTTATTTTTATTTTTGTACACCATTTCTTGTTAAATCTTGGGTCCATGTTGGAGATACACGTCCTGATTTTACCTTGTTAATCCTTGGATTTTTTTAAAATGGGTTTTACAAATCCAAAAGTAAATCAAGTGCAACGTTCAGGTTTACGGCAGCACTTGAAGGCATCACCAGTCCAGCTGCCTGCCTGCAGATTCAGAATCTTTTTTTTTTACTCCGGCCTCTGATTGGCTGAGCCGCTTCTTAAGGGGGCGGGACCTTGTGTCTGAGTGCTGGCATCAGTCTGCTTTGCAAGCAAGGAAAGGTGGAGAAATTTTCAGCATCACACACTCTTGACTATCACACACACACACACCACACACACACACCTATATATATATATAGGTATACACACTCAGCGAGAGAAACGGGACACGTCGAAACGGTGAGTAGAGTGTCTCATTTTACAATTTATATCTGATTTATGACGTGTCATCGCGTGATTATCGTTGTTTACTGTATCCTCGCGCTGCGCCATCATCTCCTGGCGCTTATAAATGAATGATGAAATTCATGTTATATTGATTGAATTATATTAGCTCCAGTGCTGCATGGATACGGGCCTTGTATTTAGCTCCTTCCATGATGGTGGACGGGCAGTTGAGGCGTTGTTGTGCACGGTGTTTCCCATCACAGGGATAGAGGGTAGTGGTGGGCGTGTGAGCTGGGATCTCTCTTGTCTCATGCAGAGGTCCGTGGATTCGTGTCTCTTTGTTATGGTGGTGCCGCAGTCGGGATGGTAGGCTACACCTCTCCTGCTGAGGAATCACCAGGCTCCAGTATCCCACAAATATCCCTATAATATTCCTGCATGAACTCACCGTGCTCCTCGTTGCATCCAATGGCCTTTTAAACTTAGCATCTTTAAGCTTCATATTCCTATATGAGACTACAGTGACCTATGATTTTTAGTGATGTCTCTGTAGCAGGCCTGTGTACTGTACAATAGGAGTATATTATATTGAAGGCAGACAGGTGCAGCTCCACAGCTAAGGCCTTGTTATATAAAGGTTTTTTCCCTCATGTTAAAGAGCCTATACACCAGTTTTACGAAGAGTCTGTTATCTTCTATAGGAACTAAGTATACCATTATACAATAATACCCCACCCCCCTACCAGTCCACTCTACACACACATATACACACAGCCACACACACACACACACACACTGCATCCTCTGTCTCTGTGGATTAGTACACATTGTTCTATCAATGCTCATGTCTTTCTCTCTCTGGCAGTTCCAGTCTTCAGTCTATTTCACATGTGAAATTGGATGTGTGTAGTGTTCGAGGGTAATTAATGAGCTGTAGATTCATCAATGAATCGACAGACATGCTGTAGGAATACTATCGGAGGACGGACATTTTAATTTCCCCCTTTAAATTTCCCTTAAAGTAGAACTAGCGCTAAACTTTGAGTAAACATTGTCGTATCTGCTCGTCCCAAACACCTGACCGACGCTGCATGATGCAACACAGAGAGATTTTCAGCCAAGACACATGGCCGCACCATTACATAAAGTGGACACATTCTCTTTGTGCTACATCGAATACATATTTCTTTAAAATTAAACCTGATGGGTTCAGTATATTGGGAAAGTTCGGGGCGTCTCGAGGAGAATATATAACATAATGTTGCGATGTTTTGAGTCGGTGGGCACTGTTGCATCCTGCAGGGTTGAAGAGGTCACGGTCATCTTCTCTGACACTCTATGTTTGTGTTTTTTTCGTGGTTGTTTGACATTTGCTGCCGTTCCGGCTCTGCCTACCTGCTGCTTTTTCACTGTCACTCATATGTCACATCGTGTAAAATCAAAAGATCCTCTTGGGTTTGAAGTATTTATCTTTTGATATAACGAGAAGGCAAAAACGAGGCGTAATCAGTATGTGATGGTTGGAAATTAAAATTTCACATGACATATTTGGTGATAGATAGTTTTATTACTTCAAAATATTAATTAATATTAATTATTTAATACTACACATGTAAGTGTTATATATCATAGGTTAGTATGTTGTTATTTTTCTGGGAGGCGTTAGCAGCTTGAACAGCAGATTAGCTATTAACTGTAGGGTTGTTGGTTCAAATCCTTGGCTACTAACATTTGAATTATGTCTTTGTTTGAAAAAAAACACTGTAGTTTTGTCTTTTATTTTTTCGTCAGTGACAATATAGAGAGATTTTGTTATAATTTTTTATTTCAGATTTATAGTTCCCTCTTTTCTCATCAACGATATTGTATGGAAGTTTAGTCACAGGTCAGACGTCAGTTTTGTGTCGTCAGCGTCTTTGTCTTTGTCATGAGAAAAGAGGGTGATAAAATATCTTTTGTCCTTTCGTTAACAAAATGAACACGACTTCTGACATCTCTGAATCCTCTGATATCTTTAGATGATAAAGAAAAGTGAAGAAAATGCTTGGTTAATGCAGTTTTCTGTTAACTGTCTGAGTTATTTTTTGAATCGTTTATGAAACCACATGATAATAATGGCCCGGTAATTAACAGTTCCCAGTGTCTAATTACAACCTTTTGTGTTAGCTGTAAACTACAGCAGCCTTCTCTCTCTAGCAGCATGTATTTTAAATGAAATGTTTTTGTGTAGTGACAGATGAGTGATGGACAGGCTTGTCAGAGACACAGGCAGCCAGTAATAAAATATAATATATAGAGAGGGAAAGAAAGAAAGAAAAAGGAAAATAAAAGAAGAAGATATACCAAGAAAGAGAGTGATGCAGTAATAAATGAATGAAGAGACACTTGGGAACAAAGAATTTACATAAGTGCATTTAGCAGCTTTTCATATGCAGAGAGACTTGAAAATGCAAAAGTAGAATAGACTTAATTTTACAACCAACACACACTACAACTACACACTTCAAGTTTTTGTGTAAATATTATAATGTGCACCAAATGATAAACTTCAGATTTATTAGACTGGAATCATCAAAACCATATGCGATATCTCTGGAATGGAAAATTTGCATGCTAACATTTGAAAAAGTTAGCATGCTAATGTTTCCTAAAGTGCCGTGTAAACCGACAAAATGTGAATTGAGCAAAGGCTGCTATTGTAGAGCTGTGTCAAGCAAACCGAGTATGAAATGGACTGAGATGGCCAATGGCCTGGACAGTGGGAGCAGATACACTAGAATATCCATATCACAAGGCATTAGGAACCAGAGATGGTGTGATCACATAGAAAAAGAGACAGACTGTGTGATGCCAAGGACTACAAGCAGGGAGCTATATGGATTATGAGAGATGTTCTAAAGCATGCTCGTTGTGATGATGATGATGATGCCGACATCATTTCTGCTTTATAGGGATTGGTGGGATTACATGCAATCCCTCCCAGATTACCAGCCAAGTAGGCAGGAAGTCAGGCTAGCAGTCATCCAACCAGATATGGTTAACGTTTTCAGTCGCTCTGCCGGGCAGTGAGCCATTCAGAGGCAGTTATCTACCCAGGCAACCAATGAGACGGTCAAGGTAGTCACCCGGCTGGCCAGACATTCACTAAGCACAACAATGTCGGTGATGATCAGGTACTTCTACGGGAAATGCGAAGTAAAGTGAATGTGCTAATTGTATGATTGGCACCGTTTGAACTGAGGTAGTGAATTAAGATGTCACGCCTAAGAGTGATGATGAAAACCCTGTGTGTAGTATTTGAAAACATCTTACATCTGACCTGAATGGGAGGAAAGCAGCTTTTAGACTGCTTCAGTTTTCACAGAAAGTGGCTCATTTTCCTACAGACAAAAACTTATTATGAATAGAAATGATTAATACTGAAATAAAAGAATAAATGAAAAGATGCTGTAATCACGTAGTAAGTTCAACACACATCGCAGACTCCTCATTTGAGGTAGTATGTCAAATGTTTGCATTCCCTTTCTAATGTTTGATAAAGTAGAATAAATTTCCCCTTGAGTGGAACAGATATTTAATCAAATGTCTATGAGTAATGTGTAAATGGCCGCTTGTGGTGATGAAGCCACAGAGAATTATCACCCAACTCTGCAGTTCCTTCGCCTCTGCAGAGACTTTTAGCCTGTTTTAGCTTATTGTTTTGGTTTCCCCGTCCAGCGATCTACTGTTACTGTTCTGTCTCATGGTTTATGGCAACCTCATCTCAAGCCGCTGCAAAAAACCACAACCCTGGTGGACCCACTACATGCTACCTGCCCTGCACCAAACATCGACGGACAAAAGTTAGCAAACATCGTGGGGTATTTCCAACGTTTAATACCCAAAGGTAAAAAGGTAGCACACACACACAGAGCTTCAGGATAAAGGTGACTAATCTCAATTTTACCACTTTATTGCGGCCATGGTAACATTTTGGCCCCGTGGCCTTCATCAGAGCATGGAGGAAATGCTTCCATAGTGAATTTTAGAAAAGCGCTACTTGAATTCTCATGTGCAATACCCTCATCCACTGTAACAGCAACCACCCAAACCATTTTAAATAAACATTGGCTCTTGCTGTATGATTTTTTGAAGTCTAAATACAATTAGCAGAAGTAAAAAGCTAATATTAGGCAATAAACCAACTACACCATAGTCACATGACTTCAACGTCACCACCACTAAACTTCCGACTTCTCCTCCCACAAAGTTAGTAACAGTTTGTATAAACACAACGAGGCTGTAAAGGTGGACTGGAGAGTATGTTGGTTTTCATGTTTGATGTTTAATGTCCCTGGCAACCTCCAGTATCATTTAGACGCTTGTTAGCAACCAGCCTTTATTTGACAGACGTAAAAGCTTAAAGAAATTGCGACTGGGGTATTTACTGACGTATTTTATGTCGTAGAATTAAACGTGAAAATTCAGCCATCTTAACCAAAAACTCAGTCAAAAATCCCAGAGACTTCAGGACGAGGGAACTGGAAGCACTGATATGCATCTAATTTTCTGGTGTGTGTGTGTACTATATTTTAACTTTTGGGTATTCAACGTTGGAATTGCATGACTTTGGCTTAACACCACACCATCCTTTCAAAGATCTAACTAAGGTGGAGTATAGAGCCAGATGTTGGAGTTGGTGGAGACCAAAACAGATCTAAAAAAGATGAATGTTGGACTTAAATTCATCAGGTCACAGGAAACACAAATGTTGCTCTGTGTGTGTGCTGGATGCGTAAAAGCCACGCTGTGTTTTCAGCTTGTTCTGCTTTATTTAACGTATCTTTAAAAATCTTTAAAAACTTTAACATTTTAAGATACATGGATCCATTTTGATAACTTACACATCAAATGTTTTTCTCAGACGTGGAGCACGAGTGTCTTTTTACCTCAAACAACAAGATCTAACTCCATTGGATGATGTGGGATTCAGCTGCCACTTCCTGTATTTTGATTTGAAAATTTCAGCATGT